GGGGGCCTCTTGGGGGACTCTGGGGAGCCTCTTGGAGGCCTCTTGGGAGCCTCCTGGGGGCCTCTTGGGGCCATCTTGGGGGCCTCTTGCGACCTCCTCTGAAGCGCGGCGGAGCGCTGCCCCCTGAAAAGGACAAAATGAGGCCAAAACCTTCGTAAAATCAACGATTTTGCTATGGAGGAAGAGAAGCGCGGCCCCCTCAGGAGGCCAAAATGGGGCCAAAACCGTAGTAAAATCAATGATTTTGGCTTCAAAGAAGCGCAGAGGGGCCAAACTGTGCCCCCCCGTTGGGGCCAGAATCCTCGTGAGGGTCGTCGTTTTTTGGCCCTCCCAGGAGTCGGAAAAGACCCCTCCAACGACCCGCGGGACCCCCTCTCCAGGTCCAGGGGGAGGGGGGTAGGGGGAGGGGTAAACCCCTCCCCGAAGGGGAAGAAGGGGGTTGGGGGATTGAGAACAGAGAAAGCTCGCTAAACCACTCACGCCCAAAGGGCTGGTGGGATTAGTCCAGGATAAGCATTGGTCCAACTGGAGGCTGGACCTCGACTGGTAAACCCTGCTGAGCCTGCTATTCAAAGGTCCTTGCGCTGTCCTGCTAGCCCTCCTGGACGGGGGGAGAGGAGGAAGCAGGAGGGGAGGGAGGGAAACGGGCCCTGGACCCCGGGCATCTCCCCAGCCCGATGTCTTCATCCTGCGTCGTCCTTCAACGGTCCCAGGTCCCGTGGAGGGCCCCCAGAGGCCCGAAGACGGCGCAGCTCTTTCAGAAGCCCCCCTCCCCTCCAGGACCCGCCTCCTGCACGCTGCTCGGCTGCAGTCCTTGGGAGGCGGCACTCGGCATCGGCACTGTCGCGTCCGCGGCCGAGGACCGTCCCACTGAGGCTGCGCTCCGCCCCATCGGGCCACGAGCAGTCGATCGCTCTTCCCAGAATGCTGAGCACAGGCGGCGGGGGCGGGCGGACGCCGGCCAACCACCGTCGAGTCACGGGGCGCCCTCCGCCCCCCCCTCGGGGGCAACGGTAGGGGGGGACAGGGGCCCGATAGTCCCAAGCTGCCCAGGAACGTGCGGATTCACTGCCGGGGGCCGATCGCCGATTTGTGCAGTCCAATACCTGGATAGCGACGCAGTCCAAAGCGCACAACACGCTTGTAGGCGACGCTGGCAAAGGCGCTGGAAAGCGTGCCTGGGGAGCTGGCAAGCTTCGGAAACGTGTGGGACACGCTTGCCAGGGCGCTGGAATGCATGCCTGGGGATCTTGCTCTGGTGCATGCCTGCCGGCTTCCAATCTGGAACTCTCTCAGCTCTCCAAGGAGCTATCTTGGAATCTATCGGCGATGCATCGCCGATTCCAGGTCGATGTTCCCCCCCCTACGGTAGGTTCGTGCGGCGTTGGCGCGCCGGCGACGCCAGCGAAGGCGTTCAGGGTTGAATCCTGCGACGCGGAAACACCGATGGACGCGGTCACGCCGCTGGACCCGACTGAATTCAACCTTGAACGATCGGGGCTGCGATCGATTCAAGGTTGAGCGATCCGCGCGGTGTCACAAACCTTTGCGCGCGCCGACGCCACACGAACCTGCCGCGTTGCCAGGCACCCCCCCTGCCACCCCTTGCCTCCCCACCCCCCCGCCAGGAGACCGCGGCGGCACCGTCTGCCTGTGGAACGCCGCCACCGGGGCGCACGCCCCCGCCTCGGCCCCCGGCGGGCCGCCCGCGGCGGCCACCGAGGCGGCGGCCACCGAGGCGGCGGCCACCGAGGCGACGGCGACGAGGCGGCGGCGCCCGGCGACGCTGGCGGCGGCGGCAGCGGCGACGTCGACGACATCGGCGAGATCTTTGTCCGGGCTTAGCGCTTCGCGGCGGTGCCGTCACTGCGCCGTCTGTGGAACAAGTGCGTGCGTGCGTGCGTGCGTGCGTGTGTGCGTGTGTGCGTGTGTGCGTGTGCGTGTGTGTGTGTGTGTGTGTGTGTGTGTGTGTGTGTGTGCGTGTGTGCGTGTCTGTGTGTGTGCGTGTGTGTGTGTGTGTGTGCGTGTGTGTGCGTGTGTGCGTGTGCGTGTGTGTGTGTGTGTGTGCGTGTGTGCGTGTGTGCGTGTGTGAGTGCGTGTGTGTGTGTGTGTGTGTGTGTGTGTGTGTGTGTGTGTGTGTGTGTGTGTGCGTGTGTGTGTGTGTCTGCGGCAGTCAGAATGGACCGACAAAGGGAACACTTGTCTAAACATTGACATCCAGATGTCCGCGCGGATTTCTTGGGTCGGCGGTGAACCCCTTGGCGCCGCTTCCGGCGTCGCCCCCGGCGCTTGCATGGCGTTCGCCACCCCCCACCCCCCCCTCGCTCCTCTTCGGACGAAGACTGACGTGCAGGGCCTTTCGACTTGCGTAAGTGCCGCACGTGCGAGTCGTTCGCGGCTTGCTTTCACGTTCAGGCCCCCCCCGTCCATGCAAGTAAACTTGCCTGAGTCTACAAAAGACAGGCACTTTGGGAGTGTGGTCGGCCAATCTCGGGACGGAGGCCCCCGTCGGAGTCTAACAAAAACAGGCACTTTGGGAGTGTGGTCGGCCACTCTCGGGACGGAGGCCCCCGTGGGAGCTCTAGACGGCCGACGACGACGCCGCCGACCTGCATGCTTCTCCTTCTCCGCCCAGCGGGGCCGAAACGTGACCAGTGACCAGTACTTACAACCGGACGTGACGCAGCGTCACGGCTGTCGGATCTGGTAGTGGCGACCATGCAGCGATCGGTGCTTCCAGCCGGATGTGACGCAGCGTCATTGCTGTCGGCACTAGTAGGGCGCGACCGTGTGGCTGCAGGGGGCGCAAAACCCTCTGGCGCGGGAGCTCCAGTCAGTGGAAATCATGCTCGGGATCGGATCGAGTAGATCATCATGGTCCATGGTCATCAGGGATCGGGGCGTCAGTCAATCCAAGTCGACATTGCTGCGCGCTCTGACAAAGATCGGGGAAGGTCTAAGATCTAGAGAGGGGGATATGGGTGGGGTGCAACCGCGCGGGGCTCATAACCTGCGGAAAGTCTTGTATGCTTGAGCAGACCAGCTCGGCAATTCTCTCTCTCTCTCTCTCTCCCTCTCCCTCTCCCGCTTTGCTTCCTTGTAGAATAATGTACCCCCCCCTCTCTCATTATTTTGGTTTTCTCTCTCTCTCTCTATTTCTTCTTGTTCTCTCTCTCTCTCTTGTCTCTCTCCCTCTCTCCCTCTCTCTCTCTCTCTCTTTCTTTTTTTTTTGTCTTTCTCTCTCTCTCTCTGCATATATATATATATATATATATCCGCAAAGCACTCGCTTACTCCTCCTAGCTCCCCTTCCTCCTCCCTCTCCTCCTCCTCCTCCTCCCTCCTCCCTCCTCCTCCTCCTCCTCCATTTCCTCTATCCTCCTCCTCCCCTCTCCCTCACCCTCCCCCTCTTCCCCCTCCCCTCCCCTCTCCTTTTTCCTCCTCCTTCCTCCTCTCTCCTCCTCCTCTTTCTCTCCTCCCCCTCCTCCTCCTCCCTCTCTCCTCCTCCTCCTCCTCCTCCTCCTCCTCTCTCCTGCTCCTCACTCCCTCCTCCTCCTCCTCTTCCTCCTCCTCCTCCTCCTCCTCCTGCTCTTCCTCTTCCTTCTCCCCCTCCTCCTCGCCCGCCCCAGCGCTTCCCCTCCCGCCTCCCGCTGGTCCTGGCCCGCCTCCCCTCCCCCCGAGCCTGCCCTGCAGGCAGGGGGGCGCCTGTGCGCTCGTCCGCCTGCTCCTATCCGCGGCATGTGTCCCTTCTGCCCCGGAGGGAGGAGGAGAGAGGAGGGGGGGGAGGAGAGAGAGGGTGAAGAGAAGGACGGCCCCAGGAACCCACGGCAAGAAAGCCACCGAGAGGATGGCCCCCTGCAGGGACTCGCGCGCGCGAGCGTTGGACGGCAGCGTCCGCTCCGACCCGCGACCCGTGCCACGGGACAGGGGGGGGATGGATCGCCATGAAGCACGCGGGTGGATGGATGGAGGGGGGAGCAGCTGGAGGTGGCAGCAGGCATGGAGGCAGTCTCCGTGTCTTCGGTGCTGGCGCACACCCCGTGCGTCAGAGGCAACCCTTGTTCAGACCGCACCAGGCCTGAAGGTGCTCTTATGCCCCGGTCGCAGATTGGGAGGGGGAGGAGGAGGGAGCAGGACGAGGAGGGGGCCTCCTGTGTTTCCTCCTCGCCACCCCCAAGCCGCCTCCTCCTCCCCGGGCGCCGATCCTTCACGATTTGACGACTTTTCGCCAATCGACTTGTGCGGATCAAGCTGGATAAATCAAGGTTGATGCAGATGATCGGGCATAGTTAGGACCCCAGGTAAGGGGATCCGGTTAGTAGTAGGGCCCCAGAGCCCCTAAAGTGGCCAGAATCACTAAGCCAGGTCTGCCGTAGCTGGTGTTGTTTCGGGTGACGGCAGTTCTGGTTAGTGGAACGGGGCGGGGGGGCGTCCCCCAGTACACATCACTAAACCAGGTTCCACCAAACCCAGTTCTGCCAACGCCCGAGATGAGTCGAGGTAGATCCAGGTGGATCGAGGTAATCATCCAGAGATCTTCCAGAGAAATCTGGAGCACATCCTGGCCGTTCCAGCGCGAGCCGAGGGGGGGCATAAGTCGTGATAGGCCCTCCACGCACCGACCAGGCAGGATTGGGGTTTGTGTCCGGGTTTCGGAAGGCTTTTAGGGCCCGTGCCTGGGTTCATTCTGGAAGTGCTGCAGTGCAGTACCTTGTTCGTGCCGCCGTCTGGAAACATTGGTTTCGAGGGATGCTGGATGTCCGGGTCTAGCGGGTCCGGGTTTCCGGGGCCCTTGATGGCCGACGGCCCCCGAGCTCCCGGGCAGGTCGGCACCCTCCGCGGCCACAAGGGCCACGTCACCGCGATGCTCGCGCTGCCGGGCTCGTGCTGCGGCGGCGGCGCGGCGGCCCCCGCGCCTGGGGCTCGGCGGCCTCTGCGGCGGGCCTCGGCATCGTCAGGAGTAAATTCAGTCTCTTGCACAGGGTGCAGTGCCCCTTCTCCTCCTCTTCTTCTCCTCCTCCTTCTCCTCCTCCTCCCCCTCCTCCTCCTCCTCCTCCTCCTCCTCCGCCTGGTACTCCGCTCCCCTTCCTTTGAGAGAACGCGTTTCACGGGCGCTTGCCTTGGGAACATTCGGCGGCGCGTTTCGAACCGGGGGGTGGCCCCCCCCCCCCCCCACATTCGGCGCCGTCGATCAAAACCAGGGGGACTCCCCTCCCCCCCAAACCCCCCCCTTCCCGACCCCCCCCACCCTTCTCCCAATCTCCCAAGGGGGGAGGGGGGTTGAACCCCCCCCCACTGGCGCCGGTGCCGGCGCTGTGCTGGCGGCCGCCAGCAGCGCCGACGGCGGGAACGCAGCGACGACGACCAGAGGCAGCCCAAGGGGGGGGGGTGGTTCAAACCACCCCCCCCCCCTGGCGCCCGCGCCGGCGCTGGTTCCGGCCAGCAGCACCGGCGCTGGCGCCGGCGACGGCGGAGACGCAGCGACAATGACCACCACTACCACCACCGCCCGCCACCACTACCACCACCACCACCACCGCCTCAACCCACCACCACAACCACCACCAACCCACCACACAACCACCACCGCCACCACCACCACCACCACCACCACCACCACCACAGTCTACCACACCACCACAACCACCACCACCGCCACAACCACCACCACTACTTGCAGCACAACCCACCGCCACCACCACAAACCACGACACTACCACCACCACCACCACTATCGCCACCACCACCAGCACCACGTCCACAAACCACCGCAACCACCACAACCAACCACCACCACCACAAACCACCACCACACCGCCACCACATCACCACAACCATCACCACCATAACTCACCATCACCACCACCACGAAAACCTACCACCACCACCACCACTACCACCACCACCACCACCACAATCTACCACACCACCACCACCACCGCCACAACCACCACCACTACTATCAGCACAACCCACCGCCACCACAAACAACCACACCAACACCACCACCGCCGCCACCACCACCACTACCAGCACCACCTCCACAAACCACCACCACCACCACAACCCACCACCACCACCACCACAAACCACCACCACAAACCACCACCACAAACCACCACCACACCGCCACCACCACCACGAAAACCTACCACCACCACCACCACCACTACCACCACCACACCACCACCAAGCCACCACAACCATCACCACCATAACTCACCATCACCACCACCACCACGAAAACCCACCACCATTACCACCACCACCACCACAATCTACCACACCACCACCACCGCCACAACCGCCACCGCTGCTAGCAGCACAACCCGCCGCCACCACAAACAACCACACCACCATCACCACCGCCACCATCACCACTACCAGCACCACCACCACAAACCACCGCCACCACCACAACCCACCACCAGCACCACCACAAACCACCACCACACCGCCACCAAACCACCACCACCGCCACAGCCCACCACCACCTCCACCACAAACCACCATCACACCACCACCAAGCCACCACCACCACCACCACCCACCACCACAACAAACCACCACCACCACACCACCACCACCAACCACCACCACCACCACCACCACTATCACCACCACCACCGCCACAACAAGCCACCACACCACCACCACCACCACAACCACCACCACCACCGCCACCACCATCACCACCACAACCCACCACCAACACCTCCACCGTCGTCCTCGTCGACGCTCCCCGCCGCCGCCGCCCGCAGCCGCAGGCGCCTGCGCCGACCCAGAAAAGGAAATCGTCGTCCCCGCCGCCGCCAGCCGCCGCCGACGCAAGCGCCGGCCCGAGGAGAGGAGGGGAAGCAGGGGAGGAAGGGACGGGGGGGGCAGGGGGCCGGTTTCACCCCCCCCCTAAGTGACCACAGATGTTGCTCTTTCTTTTCTCGTGCAAGAGCCATCGCACGCGTGCCACTTCTTATCGGCCACGCGCAGCGGGGGGTAGGGGAAGGGGGGGAGGCTTCTCGGAAGCACCCCTGCTTCTTCGAAGGCGGGGGCCTTGTCTGTAGATGTAAGGCCCGTGGCTTCTGAGATTTGGCGTCCTTCTGAGAAGCCTTCCCCCCCTCGCCTTACCCCCCTGTGCGCGCCGCCAGAAAGTTACGGTCGGAAACATTCGCTTAGCGTGCGGCTCCGTCGGTTCTGGCCCACCGCGCTTCGGCGCGACACACTCTCCGTTCCCGGGCCGCCCAGCGTCAACATCCTGAGTTTTTCCCAGCCTCCCGCCCCGCGGAGCGGAGCGATACGCCATCCTCTCGCAACGGAAACCGTATCGCCAGGCCCGCCGCCGCGACACGCTACCCAAAAATGCCTGACCGTAGGGTTCGGTTCCCTTCATTGATGCGACAAGTTTTTAGGCATGCCTAAATGTATCACACCAAAAAATGTGAAGGTCTCTTCTTGCATCCACGCCTCAAACTCCTCGCATGCTCTTAACGCACCCTTCGCGACCGCACGCGCCCGCCTTACGTAAGCCAAACTTGGCCCCCAAGAGCTTCAAGCTGTAACAGGAAAGCCCAGCATCAGGGGGGGCGGGCTCAGGGGCTGACGCGTCGACCCCCGGTCGTCCCCTGATCACCGATAGGGGCCTGGTAGTCCGCCCCACCTCGGGATCGTGCGGAGCCACTGTCGGGGCCCATCGCCGGCACCTCGGCGACGCACCGCCGATTCCAGGCCGATGTGTCCCCCCCTCCTGTTGCCCCTCGATGAGATGAGATTGTTTCCCCGAGTGTCCTCCCAAGCTGTCTCGCCCTATCGTTCCCCCAGTTGGTTCCCCCTTCTGTATCCCTTGAATATCTGCCTTATTGTTGCCCCCTATCGATGATCCATCGCCTCCCGAGTTGGTCCCCCCCCTATCGTTCCCCCAGGTGGTTCCCCCTACTGTATCCCTTTATGATTTGCCTTATTGTTGCCCCCTATCGATGATCCATCGCCTCCCGAGTTGGTCCCCCCCCTCTGTCGTTCTCCCAGTTGGTTCCCCCTACTGCATCCCTTTATTATCTGCCCCATTGTTGCCCCCTATCGATGATCCATCGCCTCCCGAGTTGGTCCCCCCCTTATCGTTCCCCCAGGTGGTTCCCCCTACAGTATCCCTTTATGATTTGCCGTACTGTTGCCCCTTATCAGTGACCCATCGCCTCCCGAGTGGGCCCCACCCCCCCTATCGCTGCCCCCTCGCCCGGGAGGGGCGGGCGTTCGAGGCAGCGGCGGGCCTCCCCGCAGACCCCCAGCGACCAGATCTGCTTCCATCGCAGCGTTTTTTCCTCCTCCTCCTCCTCCTCCTCCTTCTGCTTCTCCGATCTGTTTCCTTCCTTCTCCTTCTCCGATCCTTCCTTCTCTTTCTCCGTTTGTTTTCCTCCTCCTTCTCCCTCTCCTTCCCTTTCTCCTCCTTCTCCGATCTGTTTCCCCCAGGGGCCGCATTCGGGCCGCGGGGACCATCAGGCATGAATCCTGGACGCCCATCTCGCTCGAGCGGCCCAGGTCAGCGCTTCTTCCGCTTGCCGGCCCCTAGGGTGCCGCTTTCGGTCAGTCAGTCGCGAAGCGTCCTGGCGTGCCTATAGGGCCACCAAACAATGTTCGGAGAACCTGTTGTGGTCTCCACGACATGTTCTTAGAACACTTCTGGCTGGGACTGTCTTGGTTTGGCACATCGGGCTTATGTTTGAAGGACTTTGTTTTTTGTTATTCGAACATTTTTGGGTTCTAAGAACATGAACCCTGGACGCCCATCTCGGTAGAGCGGCCCAGGTCCAAGTACGGTGGAAACCCATGCCAAGAGGCACCCAGCTTGCCTCCAGGGTGCCCTGGGTTCCTTGGGTGTCGATGGTTTCGCGATGGAAAGCGTCACTCTCCCACGCCAATAACCAGTAGACGTCCTGGGGTCTCGGGGTAGGGTCTCTTGTAGAAGGTTTCCTGTGTCCCACCGCATGGAGGAAAAAGGTTGATCCTGGATGACAAAACTACCCGCGGGGAAGGAGCGGCGGAACCTCTGGGGCCGCGGAACGACAGAAGCTCCACATCGGAGGGCGCCTGGGGCCCTCACAGTCGTGCGTCCAATTTCTGGGCCTCCGGGAGTGGCCTCTCGTCGCCACGTCGGGGTCCGCTTAGGAGAACGGGTGGGGATGAGCCCTGGGAGGGCCGTGGGCCGAACGGGAGGAGCGCGTCGTCGTCGTCGTCGTCATGCCTCTCGTTGCCTCGTGCTCCCCCTCCCCACTCATCCCTCGCCCCATCCTTCGTGCTCATCCTCCTCCGCCGCTTCCTCCTCCTGCTCCTCGTGTTCCTCCTCCTCCTCCTCCTCCTCCTCCTCCTCCTCCTCCTCCTCCTCCTCCTCCGGCTCCTTCTTGCTTCTATTGCGAGGCCGCCTAACTGCGGAGCTCGTTTTTTTCGCGCAAGCACGTGGGTAATGTTGGCGTCCTGAGGTGCCGTCGTTCCTCCCCATCAGGGGGAGGACGGGGGGCAGAAGGAAGAGGGACGGAGGGAGAAGGGGCAGGGAGGATGGGAGGAGGAGGAGGAGGAGGAGGAGGAGGAGGAGGAGGAGGAGGACAAGAAGGAGGAGGGTGCGGGACGAGGGCTGGAAGAGGGAGCCGAAGAGCAGGAAGAGTGGACCAGGGACAGGGAAAAAGAGCAGGCGGAGGAGAAGGAGGAGGACGGGGGAGGAGAAAGGTCGGAGTCATACGGGAACTCGTTCCTCCCCTCCATCTGCTGCATTCCTCCCTCCTCCTCATCCTCCACCACCCTCGTATCTGCCGCGTTCCCTTCTCCTCCTGCAGCGCCTCCTGCCTCCTTGCCACGATCCCCCAAGACATGATACACTTCAAGAGAAGGCGAGCGGCCCGCAGGGCTAGGCGTGTGGGGAGCGCGTCCAGCGCGCCGACATCCTGCCTCGTCCCCTGGCCTCTCCTGCCCCGCCTCCTCTTTGCACTCCTCTGGGTCCTCCCCCTCCCTGCTCCTCTTTCCTCCTCCTCCTCCTCCTGGGCCTTCTCCCTCCTTCTCCCTCCTCCTCCTCCTCCTCCTCCTCCTTCAAGAGCCTCGCCCTCATCCCTGCTCCTCGTCTTCCTCGTCTTCCTCCTCCATCCCTCACGCTTGTAAGCAACCCCTCCTTGCCGCACAAAACAGACGACGTATTGTCAGCGCGGGCCCGGCGTGTCGCGCGAGACTTCCTGGCCGACTTTGGATGTGCTGAACGCTTCCGGCAGCAGCGCGGGCGGGGGGCGAACGCCTGCCGTGGCCTCGGCGCCGCGGGCTCTCGTCCAAGTTCCAACCGCTGTGCGGATGGAGGCTGATTTATCTTAAACTTGAGAACAACAGGCTGGGTTCTTGAACTCAATGTTTTTTGATTGAGAAAACCAGGCCGGCTTTTGAAGTGAAAATCCTTCGGCTTTTTTGGGGAAGTCAAAAACCAGGTTCTTGAACTCGAAAGAACCAGGGCGGTCTCCAGGAGGGGACTCCCGCCCTGGCGCCGCGCACACTCCGTCACAGACCAGCTCCACAGGGGACGCGGGCGGAAGACTGCCCTCCCTCCAAACGAGGCCCTGGCCCAAGGCGGTGCTCTGTCTCACGGGTGTGGGATCACACGGGGGCTGTTGCCGCGGATGGAGGGCGCTTCCCTCTCAGAAGGGGGCCCTCGCTGGAGATCTCTTCAGCTTCGGATCTTGCGCTGTGCAGCAGTTTCGCTCGACGGGTGGCGGGAAGACTCTTTCAGAACCGAGCTCCCGCCTGGCTTGCGGGCCCCTGAGGGGAGCTCCTCCCTTTCCGCGTCACCCTCCCTCCTTCAGCGCCCAGGCCTGGCGCTGGAGCGGCGTCCGTGGTCGCCACAGGAGCCGCTGGGGCACCCCTGGCGGTCTGGGGAAGGCAGGAAGCAGGAGTCGGAGAGGGGAGGGAAGGATCAGGGTACGAGGGGGAGAGGTGGCAGTATGCGGAGGAGGGGGAGGCACATCTTGTCTTGGACATCTGAATGTCATGGGGAGGAGGAGGATGTGGAGGAGGGGGAGGAGGAGGAGGGGGAGGAGGAAGAGGAGGAGGAGGAGGACGACGAGGAGGTGGGCGAGAAGAGAAGGAGGAGGAGGAGGAGGACAGGAGAGAAAGGAAGAGGGAGAGATGGAGTGGGGAGGGGGGCACGAGGGGAAAGTAAGGAGCCCCGGAAGGCATCGACCTGCCAGCTCTTGGCTGCGCGCCTGCAGCGACTGAGACGCGGGTCACGCGTGGCCGTGTGGCGGGCTCACTGAGAGCTCATATTTCTCCAAGGGTGTTCCGTATTCAGCTTGGTCTCATCAGCAGCAGGGGCTAGAATTGGGACAATTTCGGTCCGATCGATACGATTCGAAATTGATTTTGGCCAGGTCGATCCCATGCGATTTCGATTATGGTCAGGTCGGTCCGATTCGATTCCGATCTTCGGCGATCCGGTGCGTCGCCACGTCGCCCCAATGTCTGCCCGGCGTTGCTGCGCATCCTGGCGCAGCCGATCCAGCTCGGTTTCGGTTTCATGCTGGTGCAGCCAGCCCCGACGCACATTGCGAGTGGATCCGATGTCCCAGTTCGATGCTGACTGCTGCGTCGTGGGAGGGGTGGGGAGGGGCGGGAGGAGGAAGTGGGCGACGACGGCGGGCGGCAGCAGTGCGTGCAGGCCGAGAGCGGGATCACGGGCGCAGGGTGGGGCAAACCAGGCAGGCAGGAGGAGGAAGAGGAGGAGGAGGACCAGGAGGAGGAGGAGGAGAGGAGGAGGAGGAGGAGGAGGAGGAGGGGAGGAGAGGAGGAGGGGGAGGAGGAGGAGGAGGAAAGGAGGAGGAGGAGAAGGAGGAGGAGGTGGAGGAGGAGGAGGAGGAGGAGGAGGGGGATGATGATGAGGAGGAGGAGAAGGACGAGGGGAGGAGGAAGAGGAGGAGGACGAGGACGAGGAGGAGGTGGAGGAGGTGGAGGAGGAGGAAGGGTGGAGGATGAAGTCGAGGGGGAGACGCGGTAGGGAGAGGAGGACTGACGAGAATAAGGAGACCAGGAGGACGAAGATGCGACGGAGGAGGAACATCAGCAGTATGAGGGTGAGGAGGATGAGGATATTCACGAAGAGGACGGAAGTGGAAGGGGAAACATTTTGAGGAGTGGATGAGGAATTGCATGAGCAGTACGAGCAGATGGGGATGTGGGGGGGGGGGAAAGGAGGAGGAGGTGGAGGAGGAGGAGGAGACGTTGGATCTGAAGGAGGATATATGGGATATGCAGGACGAGGAACGGTTCAACCACAAGATAGTTCACATGATAGTTAGTTTCAAACTAGAGGAGGCCGAAGTCTTTCTAGCTGCCTTCGATACGGCTCGCCATCGTACCAACGCAACACTCAGGTTTGTGACGCTTCGAGTACCGCCCAGAAGGCAGCAGCGTGCGACAGTCTCGTTTATGTTCGTCGAAGTGTGGCCCTACAGGGGATCCCTTGGGAGTTCTCTTGGGCCGTCTTGAGGCCATCATGGGCCGTCGTGGGACCATTCTGGGCCGTCTTGGGGCCATGCTGTGCCGTCTTGGAGGCACCCTGGACCGTCTTGGCGGCCGTGGTGGTCTGCTGGAGTTTCCTCGGATGCCAGCACGGACATGCTGGACGCCGTGGCGAGCGCGAGGGGGGAGCGTAGGGGCGCACAGGAGGAATATGGAAAAATTAGGGAAAAATAGTTTGGGGACGACTTTTGTAATATGTTTTCGACTGTGTTCGAAGGTGTTTTGACTATTTACTGTTTTTCCTCCCAAATCCGCATGTTGGAGGACATGCCCGACCTAAGAGGAGCAGGAACATGCATGCAGAACTGTGTGGTGCGCCTAGGGGGGGGGGCCCTTAGAGTAAGACAGATGGCCTGCCAGACAGTCTCTGGTATGCGACCACGCTGCAACGTGCCAGAGGTCACGGTAGCTGAACCGTTGCGATGCTCACTTGGCGCAGCCGATCGCAGTTGTTGCCCGAGTGATGTTCTTGCTCAAGCGGATCTCGACGGACGCTCGCTTCTAGTAGTACAGTCAACCCGCATAGTAAGGATGATCGACTTTCCAAGGTCACTTTTGCATCCTTCCCCTTCGGCCCATTCTTGGCCGCTTTCGCTGGCCGCGCCCTTCTCGCAGAGTGTCGACATGGCCTTCAAGGCCATTGCATCCTTCTCGTGCGTCCTGATCGTACGGTTTGACTGTAGCACGAGTTGGCGGAGTTGACGGCGGACCTGAAGAGAGGGAAACAAAGGAGGAGGGGAGGAGGCGGAGAAAAAAAATGAGAAGGAGGAGGTGTGAGGACGAGGAAGCGGAGGTGGAAGGAAAGGAGGAGGAGGAGGAGGACCTCTCCCCTCGATCGCCCCCCCCAGGCGCGCAGGACGGGTGCATCCGCGTGTGGGACTTGCGGCAAAGGCTGAACACAAACACGCTTACTGCACACCCGGGAGGCCTGTGCGGCCGGCTTCCGGCTGGAGGGCATCGGGGAGAAAGCAAGAGAGGCCAGGAAGACGAGTTTATCGAGCTCGTTGCTTGCAATTGCCTCCGCCCCGACTTTCCTGAGCTCTCACGTGACGGATGCGGGCTCTGACAGTTATATAAGTGATGTTGGCCAGGATAGGTGCACCAGCTACGCGCCAGTGTTCGCCCCATTTCTAGGGTTCGGAGAGATCCGAAGGATCCCCATGGATTCCTAAATATTCGCTTTTATTCCGAAAGATCCCCACGGACTGCTAGGGCCCCGGTCTGTGTGCTGGTCTGTGAGTCGTCCTCAGGTTCCTTGGGATCCCCAAGGATTCCGAGGGATTCGTTACGATTCCGAAGTATTCCTCAGATTCGTTTCGATTCCTTAGAAGTTCTCCAGATTCCTACGGAACCCTTTGGATTATTATGAGCCCAATGATTCGTAAGGATTGCTACGGATTGCTGAGGCCCCGGTCTGGTTGCTGGTCCGTGGGTCCTCCGAAGCATTCTTGAGGATATCTTGCTGGTCTGGGTGCTGCTCCGTGAGCCCCCCCCAAGGATTCCCACGGATTCCGAAGGATCCCTGAGGATATCTTAGGGCGCTGGTCTGGGTGCTGCTCCGAGAGCCCCCCCAAGGAACCCCACGGATTCCGAAGGATTCCCGAGGATTCGTAAGTATTTCCCCAGATTCCGATCGATTCCTCAGGATTATTTGAGATACTTTAGGATTCGTGAGGATCACGAGATGGATTCCTGAGGATTCGCGAGGATCCCAAAGGATCCCGAAGGATCCCCAAAGATTCCGATGGATTCCTGTGGATTCCTACGGATTCCTGAGGATTGCCCAGGCCTGGGCATGGGTGCTAGTCCGTGAGCCTTCCTGAGCATACATAAGGGTGCCTAAGGGGTCCGCAGGGTTCCAAAGGATTCCTAAGTCTTCCTTCGGACCCGCACGGATTCCTGAGGATTCCTTGGGATTCCTTCGGGTTCCGGAGGATTCCGTAGGATCCTAAAGGATTCCAGAGGATCCCGAAGGATCTCGAAGGATTCCTGAGGATTGTTATAAATTCTTTATGATTCCGAAAAATTCCCACGGATTGTTGAGGCCGCGGTGTGGGTGCTGGTCCGTGAGCCAGCCTAAGGATTCCGGAGGGTTCCTGAGGATTCCAAGGGGTCTCCCACGATTCCGAAGTGTTCCTTCGGATTCTTTTTAGATTCCTTCGGAACGCCCCAGATCCCAAAATATTCGTAAGGATTCGAAAGGATTCGCATGGATCTCAAAGGATTCCTGAATATCCCGAAGGATGTAAAAGAATGCCTAAGGCTTGCGATGGATTCCTTTAGATTATTATGGATTCCAGTGGATCCCCACGAATTGTCAAGGATTCCTTAGGATTCTCTCGGATTTCTGAGGCCCCGGTCTGAGTGCTGGTCCGTGAGCACTCCTTGTGATTCCTCAGGGTTCCCAGGGCCCCAGTTTGGGTGCCGGACCGTCTGTCCCAAGTCTGCGAGCTGGGCCGCTGCCAATTGTCATTAAGACAGCTGCCAGGAGATCGCCCACCGACTGATGCATTCCCCGGTGGCTTTCCTGCGAACCCGAGGGGTTGCGCATACGCCTACCAGTTTGGTTTTCAGACCTTTGCAGGACGACAGACGCCAGAGGAGCGCCCGCAAATTGGTACATGCCCCGGTGCCTATGGGGAATGAACCAGTTGACCTGGATATGTACCAGTTCACCAGGGTATGGATGTGAAGTTCTGCCAGTGCCCCACAGGAGTTCCAGCTATCCCGCAAGCGGCTACACACGGGGGGGCCCTTATGTTCTATCGTCTCGGTTCGGAGTCGGCCGAGTCGGCCGTGAGGATCAAAGCCCACCAAACCCATGCGGAGCAGGGCATCCGGATCCCTGAGCGCTGGAGGAGCTGAGGAAACCACGCAGCCGCTCGCGCAGGCGGCGCTCTTCACCTGGCTGCGTCGAAGGCGGAGCTAGAGCATTTGCGCAATGATGGGCCTTTTTTTCCATCACCACAATCATATGTAGGAGAGGGTGGTGGAGGAGGAGGAGGAGGAGGAGGAGGAGGAGGAGGGGGAGGAGGAGGAGGACAGGACAGGACAGGACAGGACAGGACAGGACATCCGCATGAGGGGGTCAACGTCGAAACGCCCGCAAAGGAGCTGTGGGGTACGATTTGCAAAATCCCCTGCGAGTAAAGTTTGCCGCAGATGCAGACTTCTCATGGGGCCTGCAGGGGGCGTACCCCGATGCTCTAAGGGGCGAGCTCCGAGAAGGCCCCGTAAGAGAGGCTCGCTACTTTGTGAGTGAGAGTCCCTACGGGTCAGTGCGGGGGCAGCGGCTGTTGGCCCTCTCGCGTGCCCATTCCATGGGGAACGCGCTGGGCGAGCAGGGCTTCCAAGCAGGGGGAGAAAGACGACACGACCTCACCTCAACGACACAGGGGAGAGAGGAGGAGGGAGGGAATGCAGGAGGCCCCTTTCGTGCCAAACTTATGCTGGGGGGCTTGATTAATATTGTACCAAAGTCCTGCTGGGCCCACGCTTCGAACAGAGTCCCTCCCTCTCTAGACTCACTTTGCTTCCTGGACGTGGTCGATGGCCGAACCATGCATGTAGTGTCCGACACAAGCCCTGAATACACTGCATCCAAATCTCTGTAGTGTTCAATGTGTACCTCTGAAATACCCCCTCCAGTCGGCGTGCATGTATGTGCGAGCAATACCACAAATGTCACGGCGTGTGAGAGGCCTCCATATCTGTGATGCTGGTCATGTCACACTGTCGTTCCACGGGAGGAGGGGCCCTTAAGGAGAGCGCTCTAGTGGTCTCTGTGGGGTCCTCGTTTTCCACTCGTCGTCCCAGTCGTGTTGTGTCCATCTGAACGTGTACTGTCTCCTGTCTTCTTGCGCCTCCTGTCGGTGCTCCAGAAAAAAACGCGTATGTCGGTGCAGGCTCCGCTGGCCTGCACTCCGAGATGCCCTCGCTAGTGCAGCCGCAGGCGCGAGCGGGCGCTCACGCGCGGTCGCTGGAGCTAGCCGCTCCACCTGAAACGGCGTACTTCTCGAGAATCTCGGTGCCGTCGAGCAGGGTGTCCGAGCTCTCGCGCAGTTCCTGACGACGCTGGAGCCTCTCGACCTCCTTCTTCTCAAGCTTCTCGATGGTCTGCAGCTCCCTCTCGGATGCCTCCATGACGCTCTGCAGGTTCTCCAGGTTGTTCTTCGCGATCCGCATCGCAAGCTCGCACCAGCTGCGCGACGAGAAGTACTTCCTCCCTGCTGCTTGCCACACGCCCAGGAGGAGGAGACGGAGGAGGAGGAGGACCTCCTCATCCTCCTTTCTCCCCCGTCCTACATATGGTAGCGGTGGTCGAAAATTTGCCCATCAAACCAGATGAGGGTCGCCCAAGCCGTCTGCAAGTTCACGGTCAATCTTCGCCCTGAGCGGCCCTGGTTAGCCTTCTCCGAGTGCCCGTGGCTCGCCCCAGAGAAGTTCCCTCAAGCTGCACAGGATGATGCTCCGCTTTGTTGGGGATGCCGTACCTCTCCCTCTGGTCTGGCTCCCCCGACAGCGAATTTCGTGCGTAATGGGTTCGCGTGACAGGGTTCGCTTCTGCGTTAAGACGGGGGGTCAGTATCAGACCCCTTCTCCCCCTGGAGGGTGCACGGGAGCTTCAGAGTTGGAGGGTCCCGCTTTCGGTTGGCCCAAGCGCAGTAATGTTTATTGGTTTGTGTTGGATGGTAGCTTCAATACGCCTGAGTTGTCATGCCTATGCATGTCAAGATCATGTTCGAGGATCGGCCAGAGAATCCAATCCAGACGCCGAGATTCAGAATTGCAACTTCTCTCGGATATGTGTAGAGGTAAACATCTGAAGCGAGAGGACCTGACTATCGAGGTGGGTCCGTGGGCGTTGCTCTGATTCAGTCGTCCTCGGGCCCACGCCATTCGAGGATCCTTATCCTTTTCCTACCCCCTCCTCGCCTCAGGTTGTCCCATCTCTCCGACTCCAGCTCCCGCAACTCAGAAAGACACTTATCGGTTTGGGAGGATGGGGTTGGGAGAAATGATCAGATCATCAGCATCATCGCGTATGTCGCTTGTGCCTATTACACAGTCGTGCCGGTATCCTCCCAACCCCATCCCCCCAATCCGAGACTTGTCTTTCTGGACAACTCCAATCCCAGATGAAGATCGCCAATGACGCAACGCGATCCTTTCCTGGGCCCCGGCCCGCCCGCGCAGCCCACGCAGGGCCGGTCCCCGTCGGACCGAAGGTGCTCTGCTCCGCTCTGCTGCGCCTCGCCTCCCTCTCGTGGGCGGAGGCGCCGTGAACGAGATCGGCGTCACGCTGGGCGCGTCCCCTCCGGTGGTTGTCTCCATCGGGGCCGACGGCAGGCATCCGCCGGGGGCGGGGCCATCCGCGACCCGGCCGAGGAGAGAGGAGAGAGGAGAGAGGAGGGCAGTCCAGGTGCGCTCGCGCCTCATCTGACATCCTACCCCCCCCTCCCATCCCTTCCAACGGCGCCGATTTTCCGTGACCCACCGACGCGTGTCCTAGCCGACTTGCGACTCCCACTGAAAGACCACGTCGTGGCATCCGCAATCGGAAGCAGGGGAGTTGCGTGCACAGGAGGAGGAGAAGGAGAAGGAGGAGGCGGGTGAGAAGGAGGATGAGCGGGAGAAAGAGGATGAGGACGAACAGCAGCAGCATGAACCAAAGCGGTAACCCGCGCAGGGACGAGACGAGCAGCAGAAACAGGAATTTGATTGGACGGAGCGGGGGGAACAGGAGGACCAGGGGAAGGCGGAGGAGGAAAAATGAGGGGTGGCCCGCGCTGGAGCGAGATCGCCATTCTGAACGACGGGAAAAAAGCGCCGATCCGAAAATGAGGCCACGCTGCAGCGGGAGCGCCACTTTGAAACACCCAAAACAATCGGATTGTAAAACACCCTAGGAGCAGTCCATGTTTAAAATCATGCTTCTTACACAAAAAAGAAAACAGTACGCGGAGGGGGCGGGAGCTCTTCCGGACAACTTCAGGGGTGGAGGGAGAGTAGTATTTTTAGTGTTGAATTGTGGGGCAGCGAGTTCCCCCTCCCGAGGTTAAATTTTCGGTCTGACATTTGGGTTGTGGTCCTGTCGATGGCCTGGCCCCTGCCTGGGTGATGGAAGTCCAGGCAGGGTGGCCAAAACAGGTCGCCTGGATGGACCACCCACCGAAATTCTATCAGCAGGGAACCGCCTACTCTTTCTCTTTCGCCTTCTCGGTTTCCTCCTCCTCGTCCTCCTCCACCTCCTCCTCCACCTCCTCTTTGGCCGGTTTTGTGCACAGAGGGGAGGTTGTGATCGATTCCGTGGGGCACGCAGTAGGTATTGGCAAAGCGAGCGAACCTTCAGGCAATTTCGTAGCGGGGGGGTCTCAGCGGTATACTTCGCTGGACTTCGCCCCCTAGTTAAGCAAGAGGAGGAGGAGGAGGCGGAGGAGGAGGAGGAGGAGGGAACGGGCAGGCCTCGCGGGGGCGGGGGGGGGGGGGCGGGCGGGGGGATGGGCGGGGGGAAGCTGGCATCGCCCGGGGGGAATGAGGAGCTGCTGTGCTCCACGCCGATCTCGGGCCGAGGCCGCCCCGCGAAACGAACTGGTACACCGCAGGAACGCGCGGGAGGAATAGGAGGAGAGAGGGGAGGAGGGAGGGAGGGAGGGAGGGATGAGGGGGGAGGGGAAGGAGGAGAAGGAGGAAGAGGAGGAGGACCAGTGTAAACCCAAGAGTCATCAACGATATTGTAATAAACCCTCCCTCCAAGCTCCCTCCAAGCTCCCTCTTCATAGGCCCCTACAACGTCGGGCCATTTCCACTGTGGGAACTGTCGCGTTGGAAGACAACCGCTTGAGGACCCTGAAGCATGCCAAAACATTGTTCTCGGGATTCCAACGCCATGGATCAACTTGAGTGTTGCGTCTTGACGATCCTGAACCGTGCCAGAACGCCATTCCTGGGACTTCCATCTTGAAACCTTCAAAGACATTATTTCTGATACGCTGATCATGAGAATCCGTGAAACTCTTATATTTGTCTTTAAAATGTTATCCTGGCGAAGGACCCAACCATCTGCAGTTGTGAGTAACGCAATGATTTGTATCGTCTTCGGTGGAGCTCCTCATGGGGCACGAAACGTGTGAGCGGTGTGCCAACATGGGCGCGGTAGTGTCATGCGAGCGCGGCCACTGGGACCTTCGGTTGAGCTCCCTATGGGGCCACGAAGCGTGTGAGGGGTGTGCCGACATGGGCGCGGTGGTGCCATGCGAGTGTAGCCACTCGGGCTTGCGGTGGAGCTCCTTGTGGGGCCACAAAACGTGTGAGGGGCGTGCCGAAAGGGGCAAGGTGTTGCCATGCGAGCGCAGCAACTGGGGTTTTCGGTGGAGCTCCCAATGGGGCCACGGAGCGTGTGAGGGGTGTGCCGGAATGGGTGCGGTGGTGCCATGCGAGCGCAGCCACTGGGGCCTTCGGTGGAGCTCCTATGGGGCCACGAAGCGTGTGAGGGTTGTACCAAAATGGGTAGGGTGGTGTCATGCGAGCGCAGCCATTGGGTCCTTCGGTGGAGCCCCTTATGGGCCACGAAGCGTGTGAGGGGTGTGGCGAGCGCAGCCACTGGGGCTTCAGGTGGAGAACCCTGTGGGGCCACGGAACGCGTTAGGGGTTCGCTGAAATGGCGAGGTGGAGCCGCATGCGAACACAGCCTTTGGGGCCTTCGGTGGAGCTCCCTATGGGGCCACGAAGCGTGAGAGGGGTGAGTCGAAATGGCGAAGTGGCGGCATGCGAGCGCAGCCACTGGGAGCCTCGGTGGAGCTCCCTATGGGGCCACAAAACGTGTGAGGGGTGTGCCGAAATGGGTGCGATGGTGTCATGCGAGCGCAGCTACTGGGGGCCTTCGGTGGGGTTCCTTGTGGGGCCACGGAACGTGTGAGGGTTTGCCAAGTAAGGGGGCGACGGGAGAAGGGAGGAGGAGGAGGAGCAGGAGCAGGAGGAGGAGGAGGAGCAGCAGGAGGAGGGGAAGGAGGAGAAGGAGGAGAAAGAGGATAAGGAGGAGGAGGAGGAAGAAGAGGAGGAGAGGAGGAACGCGGGGACCGTCTCTTCAAAATGAGGACAACACAGAACGGTTGGGGAAAACGAATATGTGCGGCGCTAAGGCGAGAGCATCTTTTTGACAAGGGGCCGCTTTCAATCCGTGAAAATTTGTCAATGTTGAAACGACCCTCCATCCGTGAAGCTCTCGCTCATGTTTAAAACGAGTGTGCGCGGCGCTCAGGCGATAGCCATATTTTGAAAACCGCCCGCCCTCCATATGTGAAGCCGCTGCCATGTTTTACCTTGAGGGTCATAGATGGTGAGGAAGTCTTAAGCGAAACGCCTGGCCCGCCCTAAAAACTGACCTCGCGATGCGACAGGGCAAAGTTAGGTATAAGGAAAAGGAATGGAGGAGGAGGAGGAGGAGGAGGAGCCCCCAGGGGGCGACCTCGATGCGTGGGCGGCGCATCGGGGCCCCTGGGAGAACTGAAATCCGCCAAGACGTCGCTTGCGGCGCCGCGGCTCTGGGGCGTCGGTGCCCTGGCGGGCCTGGGGCGGCCTCCCGACTCTGCCGGGTGGTCCCCGTGCGGAGTCGGTCTGCCGTCTCAGGTCCCCCGGGGACTCACCGCGTGGGTAACCCCCCAAGGCTGGCGTGGACTGGTTCTCCAGTCTGCGTCGGCCTGCGTGGTACCAGCCTGTGCGGGGCTGGCTCTGGCCACTGTTGGGGCCCGCCCCTGACGTCGGGGTGTCGGGTGTGGCCAGGGGGCCGACTCTCGTGGAGAGTACGGATCAAGACGTGTACCGCCTGGCCCCCCTTGGGCAAGGGGGCCTGCAGCGGGCCAGGCTACCCATGTGCGGTAACACGCGCCGTGTGCCCCGCACGGTGACGTGGGGTAGCCTGTGTCCCCTGGCGCAGGAAGAACCAGGGAGGCCTGGGGGCCGCCCGCCATCGGCGGGTTGGTGGAGCTCCTGGGGCTTCACGTGCTGAGCCTTGCGCCTCTTTTTGTCGCTCTCTTCTCTTCCCTTTTTCTTTCTCGGGCCCCGCCAGGAGTGTGCGGCCCCTAGCTCTAGGGGGTCGGCAGCGGTGGGCGCGTGCACTCATCGTCCGCAACTGCGTGCGCAGGAGGAGGAGGAGGAGGAGGAGGAGGAGGAGGAGGAGGAGGAGTGTCCTCGAATATGCTGCCCAGGAGAACGCCTCCAAGGAGCAGGGGGGAGGGAGGGACTGCAGGATAGCTTCAGGGACAAAAGCGGGCAGCATCCTGGCGCTTCGCGTTGGATGCTGCTCGGGCGAACCCGTGACCTGAATCATCCTGATGATGAGCTCGATCCAGGAGGAGGAGGAAGAGGAGGAGGAGGAGGAGGGGGAAAGGAGGAAGAAGAGGAGGAGCAAGACGGCAACGACAGCAGGAAGATAAGGGGTTGATTCGACCGCGCCAAGTACGAGCGGTTCGCGGCTGATTATGAACAGGGTGGTCGTTGGACGTCGAGAGTCCACGTCAAGGTCGGTTCGTGTGTCAGTTTCTTTTCAATTCAATCTCAGCGTTATGCCAATAACAATGTTGCATGACCTGTCCCTCCGGAGTGGTCTGACGTGGAGACGCGCACCACTTGTGGGGGGGGCGACCCCGCTGAGAGGCGTGTTTTGCAGCAGCGGGGGCGGCTCGGCAGCCGCGCCTGGACGAGGCCGTGCCCATCCCGAATCCTACGCGGTGCAGGCGTGGTGCAATACCACGCAAAATTAGCTTTGCGAAAGACCCCACCATAATCAGTGATACGTACCGCAGTTGTGAGTGCCATCTTCGGTGGATCCTGCGATGCGGCCGCGAAACGTTTGAGGGGAATGCCAAAGTAGCCCGTTGGCGGCAGGCGGCCTCTTCCACTGGGGATTTCGGTGGAGCCCCCCTTATGGGGCCACGAAACTTGCGAGGGGTGCGCCAAAATGTGGGATGGAACCGCATGCAGGCGCTGCCACTGGGGCCTCAGGTGGAGAACCCTGTGGCGCCACGGAACGCGTTAGGGGTTCGCCGAGATGGCGAGGTGAATTCGCATGCGAGCACAGCCTTTGGGGCCTTCGGTGGAGCCCCTTATGGGGCCACGAAACGTGTGAGGGGTGAGTCGAAATGGCGAAGTGGCGGCATGCGGGTCCTGGTGCTTGGGCCTTCGGTGGAGCTCCCTATGGGGCCACGCAGCGTGTGATGGGGTGTGTTGGAGTGGCGAGGTGACGACATGCGGGCCCCGCCATTGAAGCCTTCGGTGGAGCTCCTTATGGGGCCACGAAACGTGTGAGGGGTGTGCCGAAACAGCGAGGTGGCGGCCGGCATGCGGGCCCTGCCACTACGGTTTTTGGTGGAGCTCCCTATGGGGCTACGAAACGTGTGAGGGGTGTGCCGACATGGGTGCGTTGGTGTCATGCGAGCGCAGCCACTGGGGGCCTTCGGTGGAGCTCCCTATAGGGTCGCGAAGCGCGTGAGGGGTGTGCCGAGATGGCGAGGTGGCGGCATGCGGGCCCTGCCACTGGAGCCTTCGGTGGAGCTCCCAATGGGGCCACGAAACGTGTGAGGGGTGTGCCGAAACAGCGAGGTGGCGGCATGCGGGCCCTGCCAGTGGGGCCTTCGGTGGAGCTCCCTACGGCCCTACGGGGCTACGAAACGTGTGAGGGGTGTGCCGAAACAGCGAGGTGGCGGCATGCGGGCCCTGCCTTTGGGGCCTTCGGTGGAGCTTCCTATGGGGCCACCAAACGTTGTACTGGGTGTGCCGAAACAGAAGCATGCGGAGGGCAGAGGCAAGGAGGGGGAGGAGGGAGGAGGGGGTGGAGAAAGTGACGAGAGGAGGGGACACGGGGCACTCGGAGCACTCTCTTCAAAACGAAGGCCCAACACCACAGGATGGTTAGGAACAACTGGAATGCACCATGGTCACGGACCCAGGCAGCAAAATGGAGTTGTGTCGTAGTTTTCAGCTTCTGCGGGCTTTCCGTAATTAGGGGCCTGGGAGCGTCGCACAAGGACTCAGATTGAGATGGCGGCCTTTGGGGGAAGGGTCGGCGCTTCCGTGGACTACGTACGCTCTGAGGCAATCCAGACATCGGCTCCTTGGGGAGGGGAGCGGGGTACCCAGACCTCTTGAGACAACCTTTGTGCAGGCGCTGTCGTGCTTGCTTAGACATCGCGATGGGCCAGAGTCGTACCTTGCGCACCTTGCTTACACATCGCGATGGGCGACTTGCCCGCGCAGCACCCTTGCGCACCTTGGGAAACCAAAACAGTGCACATCGCATGGCATCTCAGAGCTCGTGTGCGAGGGCTTCCTGGCCCGACTCGGCCCTCGCAGACGCCGAGACCGAGCCGCACTGCCCGCCTTCGTCGTTCCGCGGCGCCCTGCGTCGGGGCGCACATTCAGAGCACGACTTCTGCCTCCGGCGTGACACGTCCAGGGCATAATTTGCTTCAAGCCTTTATCCTTCTCTAGCGTGCGATTCCTGCCCGACGGGGCGAAGGGAGGGCGCGCGACTGCACTTCTCCCTTCCCCTTCCCTCCGCCCCAGGCTCTTGATGCTCGACCCGCGCGCGAGCTTCCGGCCCCTCTTCGAACACGGCGGCATTACTGAGGACAGACGTCGGAGCAGGGGCAGTTGTGTTGAGGTCATGAAACAAGCAATGCTTGAATTTGAAATCAGCTCCGGGCCCAACCTGAGTCTCACATATGCTAAAGCCAGGCGACGGTGGAATGAGCGAAGTTAAGGTGTTTATGGTGAGGTGAGCTTACCTGGTTTGAGCTAGGAAGAGAGCAGCGCCAGAGTAAAGCTCAGCTGGGCTGAGCTGCCAGGCATAGTACAGGTATCAAGCGAGCCCAGAGTTCACACTGCTGCTGCCGCTGCACCTACATGTGAGGGTATATTCACACTTGCAGCGGCACCAAGCAGCTGCATAGGCAAGTTTGAGGGCGTATGTAAAAGGTAAGGGTGTACGCGAAATGAAGGGAATTGAATGTAGGATTGAAACAGGGTAAGCATTTGCATCATGTGCAGGTAGAGGCACCCGCTGCAACACTACATTCGTGATAGCGGTATGGCACAGGTGCTACAGGTTGGAATCACAGGCGCAGGAGCCATGCAGCCTAAATGACAGGAGCCGCAGGCACAAGTTGCCCCGAAGCACCTGCCAGAATTGGGCATGTTCAAGACATCCTCGAAGAGAGAAAGGAAGAGCCATAGACGTCGCCGCAGTTGGCACCCCGCGCTTGGCGGAAGCCAGCGGGAGGCGCTCATAAACCAGCTACCGTAAATCGATCCGCTGGCGGCAACTGGCGGAAGGTCGGCAGAAGCCGTGTAGTTGTTTTTCTCTCTCTCTCTCTCTCTCTCTCTCCTCTCTATCTGTCTGTATGTATCGATGTATCGATGTATCTATGTATCTATGTATGTATGTATGTATGTATGTATGTATGTATGTATGTATGTACGTACGTACGTACGTACGTACGTACGTACGTATGTATGTATGTATGTATGTATGTATGTATGTATGTATGTATGTATGTATGTATGTATGTATGTATGTATGTACGTGCTCTTGATGCTGGCAATCGCGGCGGATAACAACGGAGAAACACAGGCACAGGTGCAGGCAGGGACACGGGATTGTGGAAATCATTATGCCATTATGCCACAGGGGCGGCCGACAAAGAGATGCAAACATAGATCGCGAGAAAGGTCGGTGCAATGGCACATCCTAAGATACACAGAGATTTCGAGGTTGAAGCGGGTACAAATGACAGGCAGAGGGGGGGTAGTGACAGAGCCGGAACGACACGGAAACACCATCCTGGAGGCATATTCGTTTCTTCTCCTGCTCGTTTGAAGTCAGAAAGGTGTCTGACCATACCATGCACAGGCAGCACCTCGCAACAGCAATGGAAGTTACAGTCCAAACGGGTTCGAGATAAACCTTCGTTTGGGAAGCTTTGCGTGCTAAAGCAAGGGCAATGACGCGGAGTTCGGCCCAAATGTTTGCCAACATCTTTTTAGACGTGACGCTGGAGGGCCCCGCTTGGTGGTGAGACGGGAGCGAGAGAAAGTGAGCGGGACAACGAGGACAGGACGGAGGCCAGAGGGACAGCTCCCGCCAGCGTGGCGTCAGATCCTCCTGCTCATGCTCGTCTTGCTGCCCGCCCCCCGCCCACCGCCTTCTCCGCTCGCTCGTTCAGCCCCCTATGGTTCCAGTCTTCTCTTCCCGCCCCCCCCCGCCTTTGGCTCATCCTCCCGTGCCGCTGCGTCTGCCAGCGCTGCGACTATTTGACTTCTGGTGCCAGGCTTGCCCTGTCTGTGCAGGCAGGCACGCAGTGATGCGTGGAAGCAGGCTGGTGGTCTCTACAGAAGGTCATACTTAGGTCGTTTTGGGCTACACCGCGGTGCACTATGCGCGATTCGACGAGTGGGTTGAGACTCTTATTTGTGAGGGGCTGACTTGTCTCTGGTGCCCAAATTGCCACTTGCCAATTCGGCCCGCTCCCGTTCCAACGGGTTCGGTCGCCGCAGCCGTTTGTAGACCTGTTCACACTCTCATGTCCATGATTGACATTTTTGGGGCTAAGATGGTTGACTTCTTCACGCCTCAAAGACGACTGCTGTTGTGCAGTCGCGGAATCGAGCGCACCGCCTTCATCGGCTGCCGATGCTCAGCGAAAGCCGCTTAATCGTTCAACATGCACGTCCGCATAGGCATGGGCATCTAGCCCTGTGGGGGGGTTGGCCACGTGCTTGTCGAGGTTCCTCCCCTCCAAGACAAGGGGCTCTTGTCCTCCCCGACAACCTTCTGGTCGTTCTTCGATACGCCGTTGAAGCCGACGCCACGCAATTGTGGATGAAAGTTTTGTTTCCGCCCTTCAGTCGCGGCTCACCTCTGTTATTCTGTTGCCAATTCATGTCGAGCGGCATGCCAGAGTCGGCCGTACCATCTAAAGAATCTTGCCGAGAGGATTTCTTGTACAGCATGCTGGTCCTCGACGACATCGTCTTCACCGGAGATGGGCGCGGCAAGGACAGCGAATTTTCTCATGTGCCGCGGGGGGGAGGAAGGAAGGAAGGAAGGAAGGACACACTATGGACAAAGGAGAGAGAGCTAGTTCTCTCGTCTCGGCGTCAACTGTTGATGTAGATTCAGCTGCCTGCGGCAAACCCCTCCACCGTGCCAGCGCAGCAGAAGGGCAGCAGAGAAGTAGAAATGAGGTTGTGTTTAAGACCTGCTTGATTTCAGTGCTCTGTTGAAACTGGTGTGGGTCTTGATCGTCCGTCCCATCCTCATCTTACAGATCATGGGGAGAGGGGATTGTCTGGTGCCGGTTAAGAATAAGGAGGAGAAGAAAACAAATTGAGGTACCCAACTCGCCCAAGATGCATGGCAATACCGCGGGGTTGACTTGGCGTGTGTCCGCATTCGGTGGATCCTACAAGGAGCTCACGAAAGTGGTGATAGTTGCGCAGATGGCAGCGCCCAAGGAGGCGAGGACTCGTTCGGGTCAGGCTAACACCGCATTCTCATTGACCCAGGAGCTCACGAAAGATGCGGCACTTGCGCAGTTGGCGACTGCCAGTGACGAGAGGTCCCGTCTGGAACTGGGTATGACAGCACTCCGTTGGACCACCGAGGAGCTCCCGAAGGTGACGTTGAGCCTCCTAGGAGCTCACAAATTCTATGAATGCGTCCCGCGTCGGGATTTTGCCAGCGTTAAGGCAAAAGCACCGTCCGCAATCAGGAATGTGGAAATAATTGGCGCGACAGCACCGCTCCCAACCAGGGATCCGGTCAGCACTCATGCGCCAACACAATTGTAATCGAGGAGTGTGGCTGGCTGGCAGCGGACCGAGAGCGTTGATCCCAAACATGTATGTTGCGAGCGCTGAGGCTGGAGCACACTGGCTCCAATTCTGACTCCAGATCATGTCCAGCGTTCAGGCGACATAGGGAATTCCCACTCAAGCATTCGCGAGAGTACTGGTCCGAGTCAGAATCGCGATTGGCGCTTCGACGAGGGCATTACTCGTTGTCGGAAACATGGTCCGCACTGAGGCGAGAGTTCGGCTGCAAATCGAAAGTGTTGGCGGCGTTGCGGCGACGTCGCAGTCTTCTTGTTTCTCGTTGTTGTCGACGTCGTCGTCATCCTCGTTCTCGTCGTCATGGTCATCATTGTTGTCTCGTCGTCGTTGACGTCCCCGCACAGTAGGGTGACTACGCGTTCTTTGATGCTCGGACTGAAAGAATTCAGGTGACCAATTTCGACGTGCGCGCCTTAGACTTGCCATGCGTTTGGGCCTCGCGAACGGATTGGATGGATCGATGAGGTCTGCCTCAAAGAGAAACCAACATTGATACCCTCCTTTAAGTCCTTCCGTTAATTATCTCTGACCAAGACATTTTTGGTCGGCGGTGGGGGGCGTCGAGTCCGAATTTGGACCAAGTACCAATCGCAGCTGTTATCTTCTTACGATGAGCAGCAGCATTGCCATTCTCATCACAACTACTACGCCTATTACGGCTACTACTACTACTACTACTACTACTACTACCCCGACTACTACTACTACTACTACTACTACTACTAATACTACTACTATTATTACTACTACTACTACTACTGCTACTACTACTATTACTACTACTACTACTACTACTACTACTACTACTATTACTACTACTACTACTACTACTACTACTACTACTACTACTACTACTACTACTACTACTACTACTACTACTACTACTACTACTACTACTACTACTACTACTACTACTACTACTACTACTACTACTACTACTACTACCACTACTACTACTACTACTACTACTACGACGACTACTACCACTGCTGCTACTACTGCTACTACTGCGACTACTATAGCTGACGCTGCTACTTGTGCTGATACGAATACTGCCACCGCATTCTTTTTTACGAATAGTACTACTACCACGAGCATCACTACGACTACACTTGTTACTACTACTACTACTACGACTACTTCTATTACTGCTGCTACTACTACTACTACTACTACTACTACTACTACGACTACTACGACTACTTCTGCTACTACTACTACTACTGATACTACTACTATTACTACTACTACTACTACTGCTACTACTACTACTACTACTACTGCTACTACTACTACTACTGCTACTACTACTACTGGCATTGCTGCTACTATCACCATTATTGCCACTATTACCACTTCGAGGGCCATCTCAGGGCCATATTGCGGCTTCACAAAAACCAAAAAAAACATCGGACGCGAAAGGGCGAGAAGGCACACATCAGTGATTCCCCTGAAGCTTTTGAGTGATTTTGGCCTTTCGGGGAGGTACTGGGGGGTCGCCAAAAGCATGCGAAACCGTTTCGTGGCCCTCGTGGGGTATATTGGAGCCATGCTGGGTTATCTTGAGCGATCTTGGAGGTTATCTTTGGCTTTCTGAGGCCCTCTTGGGGCCACCGTACGCGAAAAAGGGTTCTCTGACACCTAGCGCCCCCCCCCCCCCCACGTCCAGGCCACTAGTACGACTATTATTATTACTACATTAACGATTATTACGACTACTACTGCTACCATCAGTAGTAGTAATAACAGTATGATTATTACCACGATTCTTACCAGTACGACTTCTACTACCTCTATGTTTACGACTACGACGACGACGACTATTACACTACCACCATTCTTACTACGACGACTACTACTAGTACTTCTACCACAACCACTTCCACTAATATTTTTCACTAGTTGTAAATTTCCCCAGTGCGACCCTACCTAGAAGTTGGAGCCCCTAGGAATGCAGCATTAGTTGCTTTGCTATGCCATGCTATGCTGCGCTATGCTATGCTATTATGTGCTGTGCTATGCTATGCTGCGCTATGCTATGCTATGCTATGCTATGCTCAGCTATGCTATGCTATGTCATGCTGTGCTATGCTAAGCTATGCTATGCTATGCTAAACTGCGCTATGCTATGCTATGCTGCGCTGTGCTATGCTGTGCTGTGCTGCACTGCGCTATGCTATGCTATGCTGTGCTATGCTGCGCTATGCTATGCTATGCTGAGCTATGCTATGATCTGCTGTGCTGCGCTATGCTATGTTGTGCTGTGCTCTGCTATGCTAAAGCTCAGCAAAGCTAAGATGAAGGTAAGTCAGCTAAGCTAAGATAAACCTGAGCTAAGATGAAGCTAAGCTAGGCTAAGATGAAAGAAGCTAAGCTAAAATGAGATAAGCAACGCTAAGCTAGGGGACGTAGCTGGGGGAACCGCGGGGCGGATGCCGGGGGAACCGCCCAGGGCGGGCAACACTGCCCGGCCCCTTTAAGCTAAGAGGGTAAGAACCCTTCTAGGCAGAGCCTAGGTAGGGAACTACTAGTACGACTACTACTATGACCACTACTACGACTTCTACTGCAATTGCT